TCTTTTATTAGTTTTTCTATATCACCCATTTTAAATTCTGGGGCTCTTTGTTGCACATAAAATAGTTTATCTAACGGTGTTATAATCTTTCTGCCTAGAAATAACTCAGCAGGAGTTTTGCCCGTTGTATCATGTTTTGCGGTCCTAAGGGCGAAAGCAAATTCATTGACATAGTTATCCCAGCTTTTATGAAAATTTTTAACATAACTACGGATAATTTTCACTATATTTCTGTTGACCCCCGTTCCGCTATATTTGATTGCGGCCGATACGGGACCATTTTTAAATGACGTATGCCCAGTTTTTGGCACATGTCTTCAAATATATTACTTACAAATTGAGGACCATTATCCGATATAACTTTTAGGGGCGCCCCGTATTTTAAAATATATTTATTTAAAATAGAATCGGTAACTAATTTCGCGGAGGCTCGTTTTAAGGGAACAATTTCGGTCCATTTTACTAAAATGATCAACCATAACAAGGAGATAGCGACTTTTATTTAACTGACTTTTTGGGAAAGGGCCCAATAAATCGATGCCAATTATTTCATTTGGAAATTCGGATTTAATACTATTTAGAAACCCGGTCGGGCGGAAATTAATATAATTAACTGCTTGACATGTTGGGCAGGACTGGACATACGCCCTTGTTAACTTTTGCAGTTCAGGAAAGTAGACTGCCTCGCGTACGCGCTGGATAGTTTTTCGAATACCAGCATGAGAAACTAAAGGGCTGTCATGGAGCTCCTGCAGGATATTTAATCTAAGACTAGCTGGGATAACAGGTCGAAATTCGTTGTTGGAATTCGTAGTTTTTGTGTAGAAATAATAGACCATCTATTAGTTCGTAATGGGCCGCCCTATTTCTTATCGCCACAATATCTTGGTGGCTAAAATTTTCAGGATCCTTTAAATACTCATAAATACTTCCAAACTCAGGATCCTTACCCAGTTCTGGTTATTACAGTTTCTCTCGGGAATTTATTGTACACGCTGTGAGCATTGCCAACTTTTACAGTATTACCCTGTTCGTCTATTTTAATTCGTGATAGGGCATCTGCTACGATATTTTCCTTTCCGGGGGTATGCTTGATTACCAGATTATATTCTTGTAGCTTGAGTGCCCATCTTATTAACCTTGGGGATAAATTTTTCCCTGAGTACAATCTAGTTACCGCCGCATGATCAGAATACTGTTATCGGCGCCTTTCCAAAATAGACTCGGAACTTTTGCACTGCTAACAGAACTGCAAGTGCCTCTCTCTCGGTCGCGGAATAGTTTCTTTGTGTTTGATTTAAAGTTCGGCTAAAAAATGCCACGGGCTGCTGATTTTGCGAAAGTACCGCTCCTACCGCATAATCCGAAGCATCCGCTGAAATTTCTAAATTTTCATCCTTTTCAGGAAATTTTAAACACAGGGGCTTGCGTTAATGCTTGTTTTAATTTTTCGAAAGCACTATTGGCTTCGGCCGTCCACGAGAATCTTGCCTTTTTCCTTTTTAATTTTAACAATGGCTCAGCGATAGCCGCAAAATCTTTTATAAAGGACCTATAATATGAACAAAGTCCTAGAAAAGAAGAGAGCTTCTTTGCCGTGTTTTGGAGTCGGATACTTTTGTACAGCGATTATTTTTGATTCATCTGTCTCGATCCCTTTTGAGATATTTTGTAACCTAAATATTTTAACTCGGGCTGCAAATTTGCACTTTTCGACATTAACTTTTAGACCGGCCTCATTTAATAAAGAAAACACCTGTCTTAAATCCTGTACATGTTGGTCTAGATTATCACTAGTAATAATGATATCGTCTAAATAGATAAATGTGGACTTTCCAAGAACAGGTCTTAACACAATGTCCATGCATCGCTGAAATGTTGCTGGGGCCCCTGAAAGGCCAAACGGCATACGCAAAAATGCATAAGTACCAGACTTGGTTATAAAAGCAGTCTTAGGCACGTCCTCAGGATTCACCACTATTTGAAAATAACCAGTCGTTAAGTCTAAAGTCGTCATAAATTTGGTTGATTTTATGTTCCTTAAAATTTCTTCTATGATCGGGAACGGATATACCGGATATTTCGTTATGGAATTTAATTTACGGTAATCAATAGCGAATCTCCACCTTTTTTGGATGCTCAAAGGATAATCATTATTTTTCTTACATAAAACCACCGGGCTAGCATAACTACTTGAGATGGGCGTTATGATCTTTTTACGTAGCATATCGGTAATATGCCATTCTATAATTTTTTTCTTATTCTTATCATACCGGTATGGTTTTTGACGAACTGGCAATGCATCTCCGGTGTCAATACTATGGTTAGTAACCTGAGTAAATCCTGGAATATCACTAAATAACGAAGCAAATTCACTTACCACTTGTCGGATTCTATCTTGCTCGTCATTAGGCACGTGGTCAAGATTTAACCTTGGCGGTTCAACCTTTTCTACACGCACTGGTTTCATTGTCAGCTTAAGGGACGCTTCATTAAAATCCAGTGTAGCTTGTGCGCCTGAAAGAAAAGTCTATTCCTAAGATCAAATGTGCTTGCAAATTCTTTACTATAAAAAACATCACCTTTACTTGTTCGTCCTTGATACGGATATACAAAGGTACTTTACCTACGCACTTACATTGTTCTCCTTGCGCCGCTAATACTGTCGTATTATCCGCATTATATATGCGGTATTTGCGAAAATACTTTCTAAAAAAGACTTCTGCCACACAGGAACACTGCGCGCCGGTATCCAGGAGTGCGGTGGCCGGGATATTATTCACCAAGACTTCAATCTTCGGAAGAGTCAAACTTTTCACCATTACTGTATTTAACTTGTAGGAAGAGGGGTTTTCGTGGCCTTCGGATTTCCGCACCCTCTCGTCCGCAGAAATCCGTTTTAGTTTAAATTATTTTTCCTTTCTGTGCTTTCCTTCTTTTTCCCTGGCCTTGAGACTTTTTTCCTGGGTTGCTATTGAACTGTCGACGTTCGCGCGCGCGCTGCTGTTTTGAATGCTCGGGTTTCCTTGCCCACTGATTCGCTTTTTCTCCGTAGCCGTATGCTTGAGTTTGCTGTAGTCTTGGCGTACCAAATTGGTTTCGCTGTTGATATTGGCGTCTTCTTTCGACGTCCGCCGTTCTTCTACTTTCAAACTGGATTGCTAGCTCAAATAACTTTTCCAGTGTAGTCGGATTTCTTAATTCAATAAAGTCTTGCACTTGGGGTAGTAACCTCGGCAAAATCACTTGAATTATTTCAGGATCCGGACGGTTTCCATACAAGAGCTTGAAAACGTGAATTTTTCTTAAAATAAAGCTCGAGAGGTTTTCCATTCTTTGTTGATATATACTGAAAAGTTCTGTTTCTAATTTCGCACGATCCCTTACAACAGGGAAGGCTTTTAGTAGGACAGTCTTGAAATTCTCGTAAGTATAGGTGGGACTTCCTGCTTGACCCAAGAGACTTCTGCCTATACATTTGAACCAGTTAAGCGCTTGGCCCCTCAAAGCGCTGGTAGCTAAGGTAACTTTTTGAAACTCGTGCACGGGGTAAGCAATGAAGTGGTCATCCAATTTTTTCCAAAAAACTGGTTACCGGTGAGTTTCCGTTAAATGTTGCTTCTGGTTTCATCGAAGCGCGCATGGTCTGGACGATGTACCCAAATCCTTCCAGGGCGGCAGCTGGCATTTCTGGATTCTGAGCCGTTTCTGCAGGCAGCACAGGTTCTTCTTGAAACTCAGCCATGGTTATTCTTCTTCGTTGGGCGCCACTATCAGGTTCAATGTTTCTTCTAACCTTCTTCGGGAACATACAAGGACCTGACTCGGAACAGAGAGCTTACTAAAGCTATGTTCACTAATTGTGGTAAGTAGACAGGATACAGACGAAGGGTATACAAAACCCTTTATTTTTCTCTATATACAATAACTTCCGTACTTCGGAATACACTGACCCTCCACTCGGGGTCTAACGTAAAAAAAAGTATAAAAATAAAACTAAACTCTAATTTAACTTTAGAATAATACACGTGGAAGATTGGCCTTATAATAACAGGAAGCGTATGTAGCACAGAGACTGTGAACACTACAATACGTTTAATTTATCAAGAGGATTAAAACCTCTGGCCTGGAAGGCGAACAGCAACTGCGTAACTTCTAAGGTAAGCGGCCTGCGTTGACTCACTGCTTCCTCTCTTCCGCTTGGCAAAAAGGCCACACTTAAGTACTTGGCGTTCGCCAGATAAACTTTGCATAAAATTCCTCACGCTTATAATTCTGGCCGGAAGTAGAAAATAAGAAGTGATAGTAAAGATTTAAAATAAAATAAACGTTAGTAAAACTTAAGATCCTTACATGTGTACAGAGGTTTGTTGAAGATATAAAAATTTTTTTTTTTTAAATTTATATTTTGTAAACATGCATATAAGATTTTTGGCAAAATTTCACAATTTGTATAAATTTTGATGGAGTTTATTTATTTCATTTTTAGAAGTTCAAATTAAAGAATTTACACAATTTTAAAAAAATCTTAACCTTTCTCCCACAGAAAGAAAGAAAGAAAAAAGAAGAAGAAGATTTCAAATTTAACCTCTTTCTTAACTAATTTTTTGATTATCTGAAATTGATATGGTCCAAACTACCTTGGATAATTAAAGTTCTACCATACTTACTTCTATTATACTGTGTTAAACTAGCTTTCATTATTACAGCCACATAAAGATTATATAAAAACTTTGGGTATATTAAACAATTTTATGTTCTTACCTTTGATAATAAAAGATATTCAACAAAACTTATATTTCTGCCAATATACCATGGAATTAAAACAATTTACGTTGCTAATTTAATCTTTTACAGTTAATTTAAATTCACTTGCCGGATTAAAAGGTCTTACTCTGGTTGAATGAACAATTTCTGATTTCTTTTTAGTTAAAGGATTAGGTTTATCAATTTCATAAGTAATATCAGAATATTTCTTCTTCCAATGAAGTGAAAACAAATACATATATTTTTACTTTTATTTTAAAACATTTACAGAAACAAAGTTATAAAACCATTGCGTTGCTTGGTGGCACAGTGAAACAAATTACCATAAACTTTATTGTACATACAATATGTGTGCATATACATGCTAGCAGTGTCAAAAGACAACAGAAAAATATCAAACATTTCTATTTTTCATTTGAAGTTCAAATCTCTTATTTTTTCGCACTCCACGCAATACATTCCTCGACTCAATCCTGAAATAAACACATATATTACTTTAAAAAAAATTAGTATTTGATACTTTTTACATGTACTTCTACAAAAATACTGTTATATGCAAAAAAAAAAAATATATACAGTCAAAAGTTGTTAATCCGGACTCGTCGGGACTTCGGCGATTCCGGGTTATCGATCATCAGTTTAAATCTGGTAAAATAGCATACAGAAATTATAAAATTAAAAATATGAAACCGTAATTTACAAAATAAAGAACAATTATGATCTAAAGTGTGTCAAAATAAAAAAAAAAAAAAGAGGCTTATTATTTATTTGTTTACTTTATTAAACATTTCTTTCAACGCAAGTTGTTTAAGTTGCTTCGTTTTTTATGTGATAATACATTCTCTTTAATTTTATAAACAGACATAATTTCTTGTTCAGTTACAAAGTTCCGCTGTTCAAGTCCTATAATTGCTGTGTCGAGAATACCGACTAATTTGTTAATCGAAATTTTTTCGTTTTCAATAACCTCTGTTACTTTCTTTGCTATCGGAAGCGAATTATAATGACGAGGCATTTGATTTAAATCATATCAAAGACGGAGTACATCGAAATGAAATACTACTACATTTAGTAAGCAATTATAAGCCAAATAAAATAAAAACATCTGCCCTGAAGATAAGGATAGTGCTGACAGATCAACTTCCAATTCATTGCGCGCCGCGGCGTTTAAGAAAGTTTAGATAAACAAAGGATATGCCTTTATCCATTTTTTCCAGCAATTCCACTTTTTGTTTAATGGACTCCGAAACATACTTTCGCTTTGTAGATCCGTTACATATTAGTAAATATAAATCAGAAATTCTATTTGACATAATCGAAAGTTCAAGCTTACTTTTATAAAATTGCTCTAACAGTCTGCAAAAAATAATAAGCTGGATCCAATTCGAAGATTAAGGAACAACACAATCTGCAACATTAACTGAAATAGATAATTAGATAATTTTTGCTTAGCTTATACCGTCCGTTGTACATTAAACGCGCATTCGTAAACGTATTTTGTGCACCCGCAAATGTCTTACGCGCATGTGTCAACGCGATGCATGCGCAGAAAGTTTGTAGCTCTGAGGTCCGGATTATAGATCATTCCGGATTATGGGTGTCCGAATTAACGACTTTTGACTGTAATAACAATAATAATAATAAAAACGGAATTTAATTGTGCAGTCAATTTGATTTGGTTATATTAGAATCAAAATTCAAGAAGTCAAAATGAAAGAAACTGAAATCAATTTAACTTACTATTTCATTAAAATTACATCAATTCTGAAGCTATTACAGATAAGCATATGTGTGTTAGTGGAGTGAAAAATCCCTTTATGGGCAAGGAACAGTATTTTTACAACTTTTAGAAATTCATTATGTTTAAGAAATGTCAAGATTATTTATTTTATCACATTCTTAGAAGCTATGCTATCTGTGCCTTAATAAAAGATAAAATACCGCAATCTCAGCTAGTTAAAAAAAATTCTGTATTAAATTTCTATGCAACAATTATTGCATTTATTAATTATTGTATCAGGGTTCATAGCCACATTTTAGTTAAAAAAATAAGCACCTATAAGCCCTTTTCAAGCACATTTTAGGGAAAAAAAATAAGCACCTGTCTAATTACATTATACACAACTGCATAACCTTAAAAATTACACTTGTAATTTAAAATATGAGAAATGCAGTATTTATTAAGAGAGAATAAGCATTACCTCAACCATAGAAAATAATTACTTTTTTTTTTTTTTTTTTTTTTTTAATTTTAAATAACAGTTCAATTTACAGAAGTAGTTTACAATGAGAGGGGGAAAAAAAAACTATGCAGAACTAAACTATATTACAAGATTTAATGATGAAATTTCAGTTCAAAATAGAGAGAAAATAAATAATAATGAGGCATATTTATTGTATTCGCTTGGAACCTAATAATAAATACAATTTATGTTTGCACTCATATTGATATTTAAATAATTTAAATCTAAATTCTGAACATTTTCTAAATTTTCATGTATATCAGTTTTCCATTAACAGATATTGCAAGCAAAGTAATTTAAGTAAAAAAGAGGAACATTTCTGAAATCAAAAGACAGAAATTTGCTTCAGGCAGTCATCTTTTAACAGTAAAAGCTTAACTAACCCGCATACTTGGAAATTGCCAAATATTCGGACAGTCGAGCGTAACTTGAAAAAGAGGAGCGGAGAAGGGGGGTAGACTGTAGCCGCTCTTTAAATTGTTCCGCTAAATAAATGCTTTTGACATTTTGATATGCACATCATATAAAAATAAACCAATAGAACTGAAAAATATTCTGCTTAGCAAGCACAGTAAAACTCTTAAGTGTTCATAAACAAATCTCAGACAGAACATCAAAATTAATTATCTCTGCAAAATATCGCAAACATTATTGTGCAATACGTGCACCGTAACTCTTCCCTATATGGTATTACACAATCGGAACCAACAGCTGCCGGTATTGGGAGAATAAAGAACTAAATAACTGGCGTGTGTTTCTCATTCTAATTTTCAACAGACGGCGTTAAATTTCCGGAATAGAATCATTCATCGCTTGGGTTGGTAGACCGCAGAACTTTTAGTCCTATTAAATCCAGATTGGACAGTGACAAAATAAAAAGGTCCGTTGCTTGTTTTGCAGCGAACTATAACATTTTCAATATTCAAGATTTTGCGGAGAAAGGGGAGAACTCCTCAGTCTTCGTACTGTATAATGTAATGGCCAAAAAAAAAACAAAATTATTTTGACTATTCGTTTACTTTCTCTTTATTTAAGCCATTCCGAAGATTATTCCTTAGAAAGCTAATCTGTGTCAAAACACAACCATTTTTGAAAGTTTACTATACTTCAGCAGTTACTGCAACTATGTTATTATAAACATTCATACATATGCTCATAATATAAGCATAACGATCATAATAAACACGAATGTGAACTAACCAAGCGGAACGAGAATGCAAATTATTAAGATATTGATAGAAATTCAAACGTGTGTAGTATTTGGGTGGGAGGAAAAGAATGCCGAATGTACCGGAATTTTCTACTCCTTTCGCATTTCATTGACCAATAGAACGAGGGACCAAGGAACGTCCTTCGTTCTATTGGTCAATAAGTATAACTTAGCTAATTTTTTAAAAATATTAAAATAATTCATGTGATTAACAAAAATTATCCTCCCACATTTTGCCTTCAGAAATTTCAAAAGATAAAAGATTTGTTTTAAAAAAATTAAAATTTCACATCAGAATTAAGTACAGGAAGGGGAAGAGAGTAAATGCTTATCTTAATCTTTATACAATTTTCAAAGCATGTGGCAGACAAAATTTTATGAATGCTGGCAAAAATAAATAAAGAAAGAATACAAACCACACAGAAACAAAGAAACTATTTTAGATATACATGATACGGTAATATTTTTGTGACAGAAATAATGAATACCTCTGAAACAAAATCTATTTGTGTCAAAATCAAAATATAGGTATATTGCAGTGGTTCTCAATCAGTTTTCCCCAGTGCACCACAGTTATCATCCTCATTTTCACCCAAACTCGAAAAATTCACAAATGCATTTATTTAGATTATTTTTAACTTGTTTTATAAGTTAAACAACAAAAAACCGAAAATATTGATAAATGCAAAAACTTGAATAAAAGCAGTTTTTTTTTTTTTTTTTAAATTCATAAACTAAACTAAATACTTAATAGCTAAATAAAAGGCTGAGTGCATTTCTCCATTAGCCCTTTCACAGTGAGGTTGCTCATATTGCCCATGCATTTAGACATCGGTAGATCACCTGAACAATTGTGTCTATTTTCTACCTGGTGCTTTCCCCTATCATGTTAGTCGCATGGCTCCTTGGTTTTGGAAGTTGTTAAATGGCATGTCAATTATTCATCTGAAGCAACTAAAGCAGCTTTCTTATTTGAATGCACCTTTACTTTCCTATATGGATGATGTTTAGCTATTGATGCTCCCAGTTTCAAAGAGATTGTGTCTAAAGAGAAACTGCACACAGTGGGTGAAACTCCACAAAACCCACAATAGAAAAGTAATCATTTAATTTTAAATAGATTACTGTTAAAACAATAGCATTCTACTTGGAGAGGGAAGTCCATTCCAACAGAAATTCATGTACATGGACATTTCAGAAATTTCAGGGGAGCATATTTTGGCCTCAAACCATGCAAAAATTTTCCCTCAGGGAGGGGGGGTCCCTCTTGTGTTTAAGAACTAACTAGTATATTATTATTCTTTTCAAACTTAAAAAAAAAAAAACTTTCGAACTATAAAGCCATTAGGAGGGAGGCATTTAGGATGCTTTCACAAGGTGCAAATCTACTGCATTTGAGCTTTTCGCAAGATGCATTATCAAAGAAGGAATTGGAGATTTGCATTATCCAGCTTATATCACCAATCAGTCATCACATGGCAATCTTTTGCTCTCACTCTTAACAGCTTTAAAGGTCATAATTCAACACTTATGCACACAGTTGTCAGAGGTTCAAAGTATGGTCAAAACCTTTTTTCACAGACAATGTATGCTATTCTTCCCAGTTGGTGGGATACATTTCTGAATGCCCAGGCTCACTATTTTTAAGTTGCTCTGCTTAATTTAACCATACCAATGAAGAAACTTTTCATTCTTAATCCTTTACTCATCTAGTCATCCTAAAAGATATTATTACTGTTAAGACAGCCCTAATGAAGTAATAATAATGTGCAAATAAAAACTAAAAGCATTTTCTTTCTTTTTAATAGTGCTGTAATAAGAATATCAATAATCATATCTTTTTCATTACACAAAAATGAAATAAAGCATTTAGGTGACATGAATAGTTTTCAGTAACTTTCAATATGAATAGTTTCCAATACCATTCCTCCAAATTATTTAGTAATTTATTTTGGATTTTATACTAAGCTCTTTACAATTACTATAGGCATTGAATCACAAAATAAGGAACTAGAACATA